CTTGACACTGGCTAATTCCTTCAAACTTATTTTTGACTGTCCCATGTAAAACTGTTCATGGAATAATCTCTCCAAAAGAGCCCAAGTATCAATGGACCCAGGAGGCAAAGTGGTGAACCATGTGAAGGCGTTTTTTGTCAGGGAACTTGGGAAATATTTGATCCTGAGGTCTTCATTATTGGCTATATCTCCCGCTTCGGTTAGATATCTGGCTATATGCTCGACTGTTGACTCATTGGTATCCCCAGCAAACTTTGTAAACTTAGGGACTTTGTATCCCCTTGGTAAGTCAGTGTGCATTATGTAATCTAATATAGGGGAAGCATAATTTGGCCTTCTAATCCCTGTGTTGAGGCCATTCTGGGCCATGATTCTCTCTATCATGGTGGTTAAATTATTTTCTGCCAAGACGTTATCGTTTCGAATTCTATGAACGACTGCATCAGCATCTTGATTTCGACCCACCATGACAACCCCCCCTAGGTTGTTCTTCTCGAAACTCTGGGACTTCCAGCCTTTCGACCCTTGCCCCTGGTTCCATAATTTCCCTTTGTGGGCCTTGGATCATTGGGGCTTCTAACCTTTGTGCCCTTGCCCCCACATTAACTTCCTCTCTGGCTGGTCTATAGGTTGGTTCGTTAGCAACTTGTTCTAGAATAGGTACGTTCGCTCGAACCCCCGCCTGATTCTGCCTACGCCTCTCTGGGGGAACAAAGAAATCTGTTATTCGACTCATGTTGTCTGCGTTTTCTCTGTTTGTCACAGTCACATTTTGCACTATTGGGGCAAATATTTCCTGCATAGTTTGTGCTAATACCCCTATCATATTATGGTTACTGTCATCCATCAATTTCCTAAAAGCCAACTGGTTTTCTGTGGTTAAAATAGGCATTGCGCTATAACCCATTGACCCTTAGTTATTTGTCATAAACTGATTTGCCCCAGACCCAGACCCTAATTGTGGTGATGAATTCGATGTAGAATTGTGTAAGCCTGCCATAAAAGATGTTGGCATTCCATAAGAGGAGTTTCTGGTTCTATTACCATCGAAACCGGGTGGTCTAGTTAGTGGGGTGGCGAAATGGGTTTGTGTCCCTGATGGTGGGACGAATCCCCCAAGATAACCAATGGTTCCAGTATTTCCTAGGATCGAACTATTAGTTGATATGCCACTTATTCCATTAGTGGCTATATTACTGGTAGAGGATGCAACAGACTGTGCATTCGAAGGGATCACATTAGATGTCCCCATCGAAGCGGACATATTAGTGCCTGTTGTATGTGGGCGTTTTGTTCCCCTTGTTGATTGTCAGAATTAGACATCTTGTTCAAACGTTTTCTTATGGATAAGGGTTGGTTGCTATTGGTTATTCTACCACTTCTAAGGTTCATAAAACAACAAACTTAACACTCAGGGGGTAGTCCCACCGGGTGTGCCAATTTGTTTACAGTGATTTCTGGTAAACAACCGCTAGTCCTCCAAACTATCGAATAATCTTACTGACTGTTATTCAATTTCTCTGGTAACTCGCAGGATCGACTAGATTGATCCTAGGACGTGTTGGTCATTAGGGTAACTCTCATGATCGAACTGGTATTCATGGTTGGTATTTAAAATGTTGTGTAGGTGCTTAACTTACTTCGATTACTCTATTAAAATCTAAAGGCATGATCAAGTAAATGTGCGCGAAACCAAATTGCATGAATGAAGTTCAATTGTAAAGACATGTAAAAAACTGCATAAAAACATGTAAATGACTTCGAAGCATAAGAACATGTAATGTAAAAGATTCTCTGGAACGTAAAAGATTCGAAATATGAAGAAAGCGTTTAAATGCAAGAAAACAGTAAAATGACTTTAAGTGAAAAAGGTGTTCGAATGATAAAAGCTTAAAGATAAAAGCATGAAATGTACAACAGTTTCTAAAATGTAAAGCATTTGAAGTGAGAAGAAAGCATTTAAAGGTAAGACATTAGTAAAAAGACTTCGAATGAAAACATTTTAAATGCAAAAGCTTGTGAATGGTATTGACATGAAGATAAAGGAAAGTACTGGAAATGATAAAGAGTTTTTATTAAATCATAAACACTTGGTGTTATCATACGTACATTGCTCGTGCATTCGTTTCCCTAGCCATGTGGTAATTTGAATGTTTACTGAGTTTTTTGTACAATAGATATGACACACGAAATCCTAATGCTAAGACTTCTATTTATACTACTTCGACCCTAACGGTCTTGCTATAAGATTCTGCCACGTTCAGAACATGCAGAGCAATGCCTCTCTCTTGCTTCCACGCGTCTTCGAATGCTCCAGCGCATATATTTCAAATTTCGAACATCCCGCTTGCATTTGAATTTCAAATGTTTTGGCACTTCTTCGCTTCGAACGCATTTCTTAGACACAGCTTTGTTATCATTTCGAGACTTCTTTGAATATATTCTCCTAATTGTCACTCAAAGCTCCAAGCTTTGATATGCCCATTCGAAGCACTGCTTCTACCATTTCGAAACATGCCGTCTTGTTTCATTTCAATCGAAACGTTCAATTTACTTTGCTTCTAATAATATCATCAAAATCTTCAGCCAACAGTATGTTCATTATCTGAGGTTCATTGAATTTGTGTAAAGACTATTGCTTCAAAGATATAACACCATCTCCGTAAAGATTTGTCGAGGCTTATCTTCATCATGGCAAGGGATTCATTATGATCAAAGCTTGTCTATTCTCAATTGTTTGTTGCTTTTTAATACAAGTTGGTGTGGAATTTGAGAATTAAAGGATCATTTGGTTAAGGTTAAACATGCTAAGTCTGGGAAGAAAATTTGTATGGATTTCTCATAATGCAAGATACTTAAGATTCAAGGCAATCTCGTGCAACATTTTCAAATATCATTCAAGGGTACAAGATATAATTCACTCCCGTGAATTTGTTTTTTAGCATCTAATTTGAAAAGCTTACTCATGTGAATGACTAATTGGGAATTCAGGTTACTTAAGGCATCCTTCAAAGTCCATTCACCATTCAAAAACCATATTTCCATTACAAAATTAGTCTATATACACCATTGTTACTTTAACAAATTCATACAGAATACATTCGAACCAAAATTCCTAAATTCTAAACCTTAGATCCTATCTTCATCTTCCAACTATTATTCATGCTTCTTTGCCAATTCCTTTGATAACCTTCATGCCAATCAACATTCTTCATATATAACGTGTCGACTTCCAACCTCCATCATGCTAGAATTTATAAAACTTCAAATTCTTCATGCTTCATTGTTAGAACATGCACCAAAACATTGCCAAATCAGTTCACAATTAGTCCAAAACAATCCTAAAATATAACCAAAAAAGCCATATCCAGTACATAATTTCGAATGAATATCAAGGCCCTGTATCATACCCAATAATAACATGCATACTTCAATGAATCAGGAAATCTGAAAAAATCATGCAAAATAGGAATCCAGACCACTTTTCAACGTTAACAGAAGATCAGTAAAGCCTATCCAATGCAATCACAGGCAGAAATAGTCTAGTTCTGCTTCAGTTCATAATATTCTAACCGAAAACCAAAAAAACTGATTCTCAAACAAGTTCCCAACAATTCTTTAGATTTTAAACTAACTCTCATTTAACTAATTTCTTAACCACCTTATTTTTTAACATGCTAAATTTTGAATCGAACTAACACTAGCTTTTCTAACTTCACTAACCAGACTAACAATGCTAACTGTTTTTTTTCCTGAGCAGAGCTAACAGACTAATTCAGTTCCCCAACCAATTTTTCTAACTGCTCCTAAATATAAAGTAACATGCATAATTGTAACCTGCATCACATACGAAAAATATTATATCAGTATAAAACACGTCCAAACAAAACACCAATTGCGGCCCTACACACACGAGGCATTTTTAATACGGTTAAGAGCAAGAGAAAGTGGCCATACAGTTCATAAAAGCTCAGCATGCTATACACCTTGCATACATGTTCGATGTTGCCAAGCATCACCTCACTAGCCAGTCCACACTTAGTCGTTTGTGTAGCTCCCGATATTGGTTCCCCACATTAGTTCTGTAACAAAGTTCAAGGAAAAATAACAAGATTGGAGGAAGAGTATTAAATGAGGAAAAGGATCTAAAAGTTTCACAGCAATACATTATTGAGAAAGTTGAGAAATCCAATACAAAACCGTGCTCAGCTGTCTCATGACCAAGTCAGCATTCAACTAACCAATTCAGGAACTCAATAACTGCCATAACAGAATCGTAACTAACCTTTTAACGGATCTTATCTAAACCCTACATTCAATAACAAAAATTTAGATCCAATGGTCCAGAATTAATTCATCTCTAACCAACTTTTACAATACTAACAGACTATAAAAACAGAACTTACTTGAGATTACGAGGGATTCTTGAATTCTCTCTAAAGAATCACGTAACTTTCTCTTTGCTCCTCTAATCTTCATTCTTTAATTTCTTGGAGAATCACAAAAACAGAAAAATCTCTCTCACTCTCTCTCAATTCTTCAACAAATAGAAGAATCACACCAAGAGAAACTCAGAAAAAACTCTCTCGCCTCTGCACTTTATCCTTATTCTTTTCTTCTCTGAGCCTCAACAACCTTCATACTCTCTCAACCTGCTCTCCTCATCTTCCTCCTTCACTCTGTGGAGAATTCCAAAACCTTCTGCAACTCTGCATCCTCTCTACATCATAACCTTCATACTCCATCACCATGATTCTTCTCTGGAATTACATTTCACCATAATCGTTCTTCAATTATTCATCATCATCCACATCAGGCGCAACTTCAACGCTTCAACGTCTTTATCGTTCTCTGCATACAGAGTAATCGTGACATTAACAAACAACACATCGCACCTAACAAGCGCAGAGAAGCGTCGATTCGGGAATAGTGACGAAAATTGAAGAAGAAGAAGAAGAAAATGGAAATGCAAAATTGAACGTACCTGAATTGCAGCTTCTATGGTTTTCTTACCATCTTCATCAATTCGGAGAACCATCGGTCCTACTCAGGTCGGTACATATCTCTTTTCGTTTCCAGTTGAGTTTGAAGCGAATCGAAGAGAACGAGGATTGAAATCGGAGAAGAGAGAATCACTGAGGATAGCGCTACCGATGACGAAGTTGGAACGAAGCTTTAAGGAGAACAAACCGCGTACAGTCGTGTGGTGGCCGGATGGAGAGCCGTCGCGGTTAGAGAGAGGGATGAGGAACCCTTTTGAAAGAATGTGAAAGGGCACAAAGCTGATAACCCTATATTTTCTCACACAGAAAACATTCCACGTTATTTTTTTATTTACATTCTTTTACGTTTTCTTTTAATTCAAATAAATAGTAATGACCAAATGAGTAGAATTTAGATTATGGTGTTAAATGCAAATGGACCTGGACCAAAATTCTTTCCCTAAGCCCATAATTTTTTTACACAATTGGGAATTGTTTTGCACACTAAAACCTGCATTGGACTCATTCCTGAATGGGCCTAGCGCCCAAATTTTTGTACCCTCTGGATTCCAGCTCACCCCCTGACCCTTCCTACTTGTTTTAGTTTTTTTTCTTTTAGTTTAAATTTTCTTTTAAACTTTCTTAACAAAATTTAGTGATAAAAGGACAAAAAAATATATGTAGAATTTATGACTTTATTTTAATTCTTTTTTTATATTTTTTTGTTATGATAAAATAATAAAATCAATAAAATTTGTTAGATTTTTTATTTTGATTTTAGGAATTAAATCTCGATTTTCCGATTACTTGAGATTGGTAATTCACCTTTTCTTGTTGAGATTTGAGTCTTATGTAAGTTTATTGTGCGATATGCGGATATGCTTGAGATTTTGATTGTGATTTATTTTCACATCGAGGATATTTCGACGCTTATTCTGGGCATTTGATTTCTGACTCTTTTCTTTGTTTGGTGAAGCTTACTCAATGTTTTCCGGGTTTCTCTGTTTTTTGCTCGCGGCACTAAAAACTTTTGTTCATTTTGTATTTTCTCTCGTTTACCTCGTTTTAGCATTTACCGCTTTCTAGAAATCACGTATAGTAGGGGCATTTATCGCTTTCTAGAAATCATGTGAAGTAGGAAGCAGGAAATAAAGAGCGTGCACTCAAAGTATTTGTTTAAAGTCCTGTAGGAGGCACCACTATCTATATGTTATCTGTGTTTGTTTAAAAATCCTACATTTGAAGTATGTATTTTGCACGTGTGTTTACATTTGTACCTGCATTATATTACAGGTGATGAGTCCTCAAAAGTAGGCAAGTAGGGAGGGTCCGTAATCGACCCCTGCACATTCTAGTTCGTGTCATCCTTAGCTCACGTTGTACGTCGATACTTCGGAGTCGTGCAGATCTTGTGTATCGATTCAGTCATGTGGAGAAGAGTTTGCAACCAACCCCCACACTTTGTCAAGAGTTCACAATGGCCATTGCTGACACTTCGCTATCCGCTCGTTTTCTTTGGGTGATCCACTCCCCTTAGCTAAAGTATTTCTTTTCTTTTTTAATTCATCTGTCTCCCGCTTGTTTGCTTCGGGTGATCCGCTCCCCTTAGCTAAAGCATTTCTCTTCATACCCCCATCCCCTGAAGTCAGTATATCCCGATTGTGTGCTTTTTCTAGATCCCTTGTTTGCTTACTTGTTTAATATGCCATGCTCCCTTAGGATTTCTCGTGTAGGGTTAATCCTAGAACTAGACATTATGACATATATCCATGTATGTTAACTTAGGTAAATATTTCCCTTTCTTCCTTAACATAGGGCCATCATTGTATGATTACACTAGGGCTAGAGATTAGGATAGTCTCCCTTAGTTATTTTCTTTTCTTTACATATTGCATCTTAAAACAAAAAAATTCTTTTTCTTGGTAAATCATAAAACTTCTCTAATGAACTTAAATCCTTCTTCAAGGTAAAAATACAAACCAATCTTAATTGTTTATGCGCCTTTTGGCTCTGTTTTAAATCTTGTTAAGTTGACATCTTACCATCTTTACCATGATATTTTACTATCTTTGTGTCGATGCTTCTCCATCACTTATGTTTGTCATCCTACTTTGATCTTCAATATCATTGTTAGGTGTGATGTTTTATCATCTAAACTGTAATGTTTTACAATCTTTACCATGATACTTTACTATCTTTGTGTCGATGCTTCGTCATCGCTTATGTTTGTCATCCTACTTTGGTCTTCAATATCATTGTTAGGTGTGATGTTTTATCATCTAAAATTGTGATGTTTTTCCATCATTGTTAATTCCTTTCCTTTGTCGTTGATGTTTGTCCATTATTGTTAATGTTTTACCATCTTTGTCTTTATCTTGCCATTATTGTTAATAGTTTGTCATCGTATCTGATGTTTTGCCATCTTGATTATTGCTTTGTCTTTTTAACTAAAAATAAAAACAAACCAAAATATGTAAGCCGAACTACGGTATTCTGATTCCTTAAAAGGGATACGTAGGCATCTGGTCACGAGGCTCAGTCGAGCGAACTTTGTAATTATTTCCTTCTTTTCCCCGTGTTTTCTCTTTTGCATGCATTCCCTCCTTACATTTTTCTTCTAGCTTAGCTTTGGACATAGATCTTACACACCCTTTAGATTAGAACAACAATAGTGGATACCATAGAGTACTACGCATGTGTGGGGTACTAATACCTTTTCCTCACGTAACAGACTCCCTTACTTGATCTCTCAGTTGCAAGACCGTGACTTCTCCCTTCTCAGGTTTTCTCGGTGTTTACCTTTCCCTTCCTGTGGGATAAAAAAAATTCGATAGCGGCTTCATTAATTTCATCTCGATGATTTGTTCAAACGGTTGTTTCACCTTTATCGGACTTCTAAGTACCAGTCTTCAGGCACCTTCGTCTGGCTTGTCCCAGCTGTATCCAAACTCGATGGCTTTCCTTTGGGCCTTCATGATTATGTGTGATTATTTGGATATCAGGGCCACCGTCCCTTTGTTCTTTTACTGTTTCCACCTTCAGAGGCAGTTGTTTGGTGCCCAATATGGTTGGGTCGCTTTGAAGTAGGCCAATAGTAATTTGTTCAAAGCATACTAGGAGTTAGTCCATTTTTTCAAGGAGAAGTTTATGCTCCATCCGTTTCGCAGAGGGTGTTGCTGAGTGTCTTCTGGGTTGCTCTTGCCTACGACGAGGAAGGGGCTCCTATTCTGACTTAGGAGGGAAAACACGCGAACAAGTTGGTGCCTAAGTTTCCGTTTCACTGGACCGATAAGCATTATGAAAGGGGAGCGACGTCTATGTCTGGAAGAAAGACCAGCTTGGTGTCGAGGGTGCATCCAACTTTGATCACCTCACTTCCTTTATCGCGGGGATTCCTCATGTCCAGCATATGGGTAGAAGAGGAAAACCGGTCGTCGACAAGGACGGGAAGGCGGTCTTCGACCTCGAACTAATAGGTGTTAAGGAGCTCCTCAAGAAAGAGGACCTCGCGGCCTATCTTGGTAGCCGCTTTTATGATTTGATTTTCTTTGTTCACGCATATTCTTTTGTTTTACTGATCGTTCTTTGTTGTTTCCTCACAGATAAGATGAATCCCACCCAAGAGTGCTTGGCCAGGATGACCGCTTTCAACCTGAAGAAGGCACAGAAAGGTGTCAAGGCTTCTTTGCCCGACGTTGGCCCTATGTTAGGATCGAGTGCTTCTTCGACAGGGAAGCCGATCGGGGATATTTCTCCTTTGCAAGTGTCCTCGAGACATAAGAGGTAGCACAACGAGGGTACTATGGACCTGATTAGGGAGAGGGAGAAGGAAAAGTACGAGTTTCCCCCTTTCTGGCACGACAGGTCCTTCTTCGAGGGTTCTTCTATGTATCTTCTCCTGGGTGAGTCCCTTCTGGTTGAAGAGCTAGATCATCGAGCGAAGAGGAAAATGTTAGCTCAGGATGTGGGAGAATTTGTGAGGGTCTTGGAGATGGTCGTGGTGTACACTAAGGGGGTACTTCTCTGGAAGTCAAGGTGACGAAGCTACGATCGAAGCTGGCCGAGACAGAGAAGGAGTGATTTGATGAGAAGACTTCCCAGAAGTTAGCAGAGGACATGCTAGGGAAATTGTCTAAGGATCACAAGGTGCTTCTGCTCGAGAAGAAGACTTCCGACGAGCAGGTGACGGCCTTGACTGTTGTAACACGATGGCAGAACTGACTTAGGATTTTTTGCGTTTGATCGCAATTGTTGCAGATAAAAAGAGTCGCCACCGACTTTTCTTTTATCCAAATAAAGGAAAGGGTGAAAAGAACAGGAAAGACCTTTGAGATTATTTTCTTGAGTTCGGGGGATAGATTATGAAAAGGGAAGGTGTTAGCACCCTTTTCATCCATAGTTATCTATGGGCTCTTAGTTGCTTGCTAGATTATTTGCTTTGTCTGAAAGTGTACTTTGTGGTGGTTTTTGAAAGTATTTTTGAAAAGCGCCTTTGTTTAGGGAAACTTTGTAATGATTCTCGTCTCTATAAGAATGTATACAAAGTGTTGGACTTTTTGAAAATATTTCAAGTTTTGAAAGTGTTTAGTGTGTGTTTGGAAAGTTGTTTGTTTTGAAAATGAGCAAGCAACTAAGAACGTTTCTACCTACTCAAAAGTCTTTGTTCTTTTCCTCCTCCTTTAGATGTTGCTATCTTACCATTGATTGGTAAGAAGCTTTATCTTTGGATGTAAAGGGACGGGCGTGGGTCATCGTATAGACATGATAGCAATGTTGTGAGATATCTTAGCATTTCCCTTGAGGGACTAAGATCATTTGTAAGGAAACATCCGAAGCGTCATCAAGGGACTATGATCTTGTATTTCGATTGTTTTTGCTAAGACGTCTCACATGCATAACATGACCATTTTTAGGCAACAAGTGGAGTTAACCCTATGGGTGTATATGCGAATAGTGTGTTTGATTTTCATGCATTTAGTCTTTGATTAGGGGTTGTCTACTTGTTGATTTTATCTTCCCATACAAATCCTACTTTACTAGCATTTACATGAAAGCGATAAATTGCGGGAAGTAAATATTCTAAGTTATTACAAACATTAGGAGGACGGGTGTACAAATTTACAGATGAAGATTGCAAGAAATTAAAGTCCTAATTATTTATTACAACCATATTGAAATAATGTACAAGAAATGTAAACTAGGCTTGTTTTGTTTTTGTTAAGAGAAGAAATAAATTTGCTTAAGAAAAATATTTTAGTCTTTTTGTTTTAAAAGAAATAAAGCAAAGT